AGACATCCACAGTGGGGGTTGCAGGCAGGACCATTGCTCACATGAGAGTTCTTAGGGCCCACAGAGGCTCAGGGCTGCGTGAAGCAAGTCAAGGGCCTGATTCATGAAGATGATGAAGATGGTTCAGGGCCCCAGATAGAAGATAGATGGAGAGTGGTGCACCAGGTGGATCCTGCTCAGAAAAGACCCAAGCTAAGGGGCCATCTGCAATTGCTGGGGATGCTGTCGGCAGTGGACAGGGGGCCAGACAACCTACAGGCAGAGTCGGCTTTGATGTGAGCCACTTGGTCTGGTCAACCTAGGCCACCCACGGACCTGGAGTGGACTCGGGCAGCTCAGACTGGGACAGTCTTGTTCTTATTCTCTCCATCATGCTGTTTCTTTCAAGAGGCAACCAAAGGGGACCCATTCTGAGATTGAACTTTCTCTAGTTTAGAGACAGGCCGATGCTCAAAAGTGCTGTCCCTCCTGTTCCGTTCTTTTGTTCAAGAGCTTAACGAGAACCGGACACAGCTGGAGGACAGTCTTCCTGGTGCTGTCTGGCGGAGCCGGCACCCGAGCTCACATGCTCACTGCAGCTCCGGCATCTGCCCTCCCTTACACTTAGGTAAAAGAGCATCTCCAAAACTTGGAGGCCCGTCCTCATGACCTTCTCAGCCTTCATGGGGCAGTTGGGAAAGAATCATTTCTGGATCCGTCTCCTTGCTGAGGCTGTGGCGTGAGGGTTGCTGCCAGGTGTCCAGAACCCCATTGTCAGCGCAGACCGTGCCTACCATAAGGGAACGTGCGTCAGCACAGACCGTGCCTCCCATCAGGGAACGTGCTGTTTATTTTTCACTGAGTATGTTCCAGTGATTCCCTTCCGCTGTTGCACCATGTCCCTGAAGTTGAACGATGGACCTGGAGAAGGCCGACTATTCATCCAACATCTGTTTCTCTGATTGTCCAGGCTCCTTGCTGTTTTGAAGTGTTCAGAATCCGTGTTTTAAGTGCATCTGGGCATAATATTCAGTCTATTAATACACACTAGAGACAGTCCTGCCTACTAGAAAACCAGGTACTACAGGGTTATAAAAGTCATTTGATACCTTGTAAAGCCCAAGAAACCTCGCCAATGCCCAGGCCCCATTTCTTGATGTAGTCAGGTGATAACATGTGTACACTTGTACAGCCTTCTCCAGCAAGTGCCAAAAGTTCATGCTAAGTACTACATAAATTATCACCTAATTAAGTACTGTTTGGTTTGGATTGGGGGGGGGAGTGTAAACTCAATTCTCCTTGGAGAGCAATACACAGAAATATGATGTGGAATTAATTGTATGGATCCGGGTCAAAGATCGAAGTACAAGTAGAATTTCCTTTGCAAAGGAGGAATGTGTAAAGGGTTTTTTTTTTTTTTTTTGCCATCTCAATGATTTCATTTTTCATTATCTGATTCCTGCTGGCCTGCAACCCTTTCACCCTGTCTCTAAATCTCTTCCTTTCTATCTTTTCAAACTAGTCCCTGTGGCATTTACGTACTAAATAGCGTTGGGTGTCTGACGGAGGATAAGCTGTCTGTCGTACTTTCCGTCATCTGTCAAGAACTTTTCTTATTCATCCTCAGATGTAATTCAATGCAACTCAAAGGCTCTGTGCTTTGCATCCGTTCTTTTCTCAGACGGACACCCCTCTCTTTCCTCCTCTTGCTGTCTTTCTGGGACGTTCTTAGTGTTCAATTTAAACGTCTTTTCATCTGCAAATCATTTCCTTATTAGCTTGAGGTCTGAGCTAAGTGCCACCTCTGCATTCCCCAAACACCGTGTGTTCCCTCTAGTGTGTGATTTTTATAGGTTCAATGTAGTACGTATTATGATTCATTCTATGTTATTGTATACTCATGGGTTTAATTGTCAGCTTTTCTATACTGTACACCTCTTGAGAGAAAAGATTTTGTGTTCCTGGCCATAAGTACACTGTTTGGCAGACAGTGATATGGGTACATATTTGGGGAATGAATGAATAAGTGAATGAATGAATGACTCCACATCCAGGGACCATGGTGAGTAGAGATAAAATTTATTTTTCCAGCCAGAATCTTTCTAGGAGCTGTATTCATCTGGCCGCATTGTGACACCTTTGTCATCTTTGAATTCAGCTCCATTAAAAAGATTAACCATCCATTGTCAATCCGACCCACTTTATTTGCAGTAATGCCCTCGGGGACACTGGTGGAAAAGTTTCACTCAATTGGCAGTGAGGAGAATGGTACTGGAGAACAATCAAACGTCAGCCGCTCAACTGAGGGAGCCGTAGTCTTTATTTCCAGTCCAAGAGCTGGATGTGTTCTCAGGGTGGGAAGTACAGAGAGTAATAATTCTGTGTGAGTCTCTCAGCTGGCAGCACTAGTGAGAAATGGCCTCGCTCGGTCTGAATGGCGTGAGCTGGGGAAGGGCCCTGCGAGGCTGAGTCTGGTTTAAATGTCTCGCTGCTTGAATCATCTTGGTACCAGCTCTTTCAAACTCATGGTGTCTTGGACGGTTTCCCCTCTCTGGAATTAAGTGTGTATGTTGGCCAGAGTAGACTAGGCAATAGCAGTCTTGGCCGGGCTGATTCCTGC